CACAACAAAAATGTTCTCTTTCCTCTACCAACAAGAAAATATTCCACACACTCAGCATGTCAGTCAGCAACAACATCTCCAACATGTTCACATATGCAGGCAGCATGTTGAATCACGGGAAATTGTACTACGGTGAATAAAAACTACCTTCCACTTATTGCAGTGTGTTAAAAGTCTTTTTCCTCAATGCCTTTTTTTGTATCCAATTGTTGGCATTAGGCGTAAATCCCATACGAGATGCGGTCATGATTTATCTTGTACCTTCAGCAGAGACTTCAGGTGAGAGGTCATCTGCTCTCGGCTCTGGCTACTCTCTGGAGCTTCCTTTTCTCCGAACCAGTGGCTTGGCGGTTTGGGAAGAACACTCGGTGACGGCGGCTCGCTAAACTTTGCTCCGGCGTAAATTTTCTCGCCGTCTTTGAGGCATTCGAGCGCCGCTTCATTTATCGCCGTGTTCGCCATCTTTAGGTTGTCGGAGGCGTGGAGGAGTTTCGCTTTCCTCTGAGGAGGCTGGTGGGGGGAGAGAAGTTTACCGGGGCTGATGGTGTCCTTTGTTTTCTCCTTGGAGGATGGAGAAGCCCCGGGGGTGTGGCCCTGCTTGGGCTTGTGGCTCCGGGTGATCATGTTCTGGGAGATCTGGTCGTGACGGGGGTCTTTACGGGCAGGTTGTCCGCCGGGCTGCACGGCGCCTCGCTCCAATCTGACACCTTTAGATTTCAGAAGCTAAGAAACAGAAAGACAATGTTTTTAATATAATACGTTTATTCATAAATCACATTTCAACACAAGGCAATTCAAAGTGATTTACAAAAAAACGATTCTTCAGCCTGGATTTAAGGAGGACTAATTATCAGGTTCATATAAGTATGTAGTGTCTCTACTTTAAAGAGTCCTCTCCTGCTGATGTTCAGGTGTATATCAGTATGTAGTGTATCTTCTTTAAAGAGTCCTCTCCTGCTGATGTTCAGGTGTATATCAGTATGTAGTGTATCTTCTTTAAAGAGTCCTCTCCTGCTGATGTTCAGGTGTATATCAGTATGTAGTGTCTCTACTTTAGAGTCCTCTCTGCTGATGTTCAGGTGTATATCAGTAAGTAGTGTCCTCTACTTTTAAAAAGAGTCTCTCCCTGCTGATGTTCAGGTTTATATCAGTAATGTAGTGTCCTCTACTTTCAAGAGTCCCTCTCTGCTGATGTTCAGGTGTATATCATATGTTGTGGTCTCTACTGTCTCAGTATGTAGTGTCTCTACTAAAGAGTCCTCTTCCTGCTGATGTTCAGGTGGTATATCAGTATGTAAGTGTCTCTACTTTAAAGACTGTCCTCTCCTGCTGATGTTTCATGTGTATATCAGTATGTAGTGTCTCTACTTTAAAGAGTCCTCTCTGCTGAGTTCAGGTGTATATCAGTTATGTAGTGTCTCTACTTTAAAGAGTCCTCTCCTGCTGATGTTCAGGTGTATATCAGTATGTAGTGTCTCTACTTTAAAGAGTCCTCTCCTGCTGATGTTCAGGTGTATATCAGTATGTAGTGTCTCTACTTTAAAGAGTCCTCTCCTGCTGATGTTCAGGTGTATATCAGTATGTAGTGTCTCTACTTTAAAGAGTCCTCTCCTGCTGATGTTCAGGTGTATATCAGTATGTAGTGTCTCTACTTTAAAGAGTCCTCTCCTGCTGATGTTCAGGTGTATATAGGGATGGGTACCGAGCCCCGGTATTAAACGTGGCCCCGGGGCTGAATTATTAAAGACCGTGGTACAGTTAAGCTCCGACGTTATCGGTCTTTTTATCGGTACTGGAGACATGTAAAAAATATATGTCATATGTATTATTGCTACACAAACATTATATTGCAGTTTTAGTGTCACCAACTCCTTTTCTAATATGCAATAAGACTGCAAAATGCGTCTATGATTATTTTTAGTATTTTCGATCTTTCCAATCCAGGCGAGAGATCTCTCTCCCCCGCCTGCTTGCGAGGGGGCGCAGCAGTTTACACACGCAGCTGCTACTGTACATGCAGCAACACACACACACACACGGAGACAAAGCGCGCCGAGGTGTGGTTACATTTTACCCGTCTCCATGTGGACAATGCTCGTTACCAAAAGTGCAATAAGAGTTTAGCATGTAAGGGCGGTAACACAAGCAATCTGTCTAAACATTTAGCAAAAGTGCACCACATTCAGACGGAGAAATGCACCGGGTTCGACTGTCTTTCTAGTAGCTCTGTAGCCCCATCCACGAGTAACGTTTCTACGTCAGGTATTATGTATGCTAGCAGCAACACACGGAGTTAACTCAATGATACAAACATGGGTTAATGAGTAGAGGTAACTGAGTTATTTATTTTGTTAAAGTTTCAGCCATTCTGTTTACAGTTCTGTCATCAGATTATTTAATACGGTTTGTTAAAACATTGTTGTTTCTTTTGATGTGAAATATTATTTATTTAATTTAAATAAAAAGGATTAAAACCTACAAGTTTGAGAGAAACAAAAACTTAATAAAAATACGAACACAATGAATACATGTTGAGTGAAACCTGCGGTGTTTACATGAGCTTCCTCTTCCTCTTTCTAACCACTCAGAGCAGCTGCTGATGCAATGTGACGTTTTTATCTCTGTGAGGCAGCCAGAAGCAGGAAGTCAACAAGTGTAACTTTCGATTCTTTCACAATAAGGATTAGTAACTGCGTCATTTAACCGCCTCATGTTTCACAGGAGACTCTATCACCATTAAATCTACCTTATTTATTAGAAAAATCATGAACATTAGAATTATTTGATTGACTTCATACTCTTTTGATGAAGCTTTGTATGAACATAGCTTTAAAAGTGTGCTTATAGGGATGTTAATATGACTAGAAGCCAACTCTTATTATCAACAGCTGGTAGTCTGAAGTAATTTTGCAACAGATAACTGTATACCACGTTAAAAAGGAAGTGGAAAATACACATTTAATTAGACAAACCCCTAGTGTTCGTCCTCTAGTGTCTTGTTTTTTGACTTAAGTAAGTAAAAGTAGAAGTGCCAGAGTGTAGAAATACTCTGTTAAAGTAAAAGTCCTGCATTCAAAATGTTACTACAAAAAGTAGTCATTGTGAAGATTGGTCCATTTCAGAATAATATATGTTTTATAATTATTGATCATTAAAGTGTTGCTGGTAAAAAAAGGTGCAGCTAGTTTTAATGACTTTGTATACTGCAGGGTAGCTTGTGAATTTACTCCGGGTGGAACTAAAGTCTGATTTAATACGTGATTATATTTCACAATATTAACCTTAAGTTACTATTAGATATATGTAGTGGGGATAGAAGTACAAAGTAGCAAGTACACGTACGTCACAATTGTACATGAGTAAATGTACTTAGTTACTTTAAACCACTGCAGTTAACACACTTGCAGCACAGATAATAACAAACATGTATTACAATAAATAGACCCTGGTGTTTACCTCTTTCTTGGCTCCCTGTCTGAGCGGATGATGGCTCAGCTCGGTACCGGGCTGTGCTGCGGCTCTGTTCGCGGACAGCGCTATCAGAGTGTTGTTGTTGTTGTGGTCAGTAACCCGGATGTTGGGACTTTTTTTCGGAGGCTTCTGGTGATGCAGAGGCGCCGCGGACCTCAGCTTTTTCCCTCCTTTCTTCAGCAGAGCCTGCCTCGCTTTACTGCCCGTGTTCACCCCATCTTTCCCGCTTGAAATCACCGATATCGGGTTGTTGTTTTCCACCTCATCGTTTTGAGATCCGTCCAACATTGTTTTGCCAAAACATACAAAAGCTGTGATATCCCACCGCGGGTAACTTAGTTTAGCTATCAAGCTAACAGCTAGCCGTACAGAGCGTCGGATAAAACGTTCTTATCCACGCAGAAATAAGAAACTACTTAACGAAAATAACGTTATAATGTCTCAGAAGTTCCCTGGGAGTTTTTTTTTGTAGTATTTTAAATATTTCTGCTGCTAAAAAAAGGCAACATTGACGTCCGTTTGTGCCGAGATGCCGTGGGTGCTCGCGAGCTTTTCAAAGCAGAAGTAGAGTTAGCACGTTACGCTGAACAGAATAACACATAGACTTCCGGTGATGTATTTCAAAATAAGACGATTGCAGTGTTTTTTACGAGTCAAAAACACATAATTTTATCATGGGGTCTGTGCTGATTAATATAAGTGGCAAAACAGTTAGTTACCGCAGAGTTAGATAATTGATTAACTGCATTACTGTCACTTGTCATTACTATTATTTTGTAGGAAACTCACAATTTCCGGTAACTTTCTGTTCAGCTTGACAAATCTCCACTTCCACTTTCCAACGTAAACACGTTTCTGACTTCTTCCTGAAAGTGACGTCAGGCGTTTTAAGGGCGAGCCCCAAATGTTTTATTTTGTTTTTTAAACATTGATTGTTGTCTTTTTATCCAATTAATATGTTTCTCATGTGAGTTGGGTTTGTAGTATTTTTTTTAAATCTTTGTATTCATTGACTTTTAATTGCGTTTAAGTCCAAACTCATGTTTTTACCCCGAGTACAAATAAAACAAAACAAAGAAACATAAGCACTATCATCATATATTATCTAATGCCTTAAAAAGCAGTTATTTTGCTTTTAATGTCAACAATTTGGTAATCATTTATCAAGCAAACACACCAACATGTTTGGGTTTTCAGCTCGTCCATCGTCATAATAGTTCCTTTTCCTGTTTAACATGTTGTTAATTGGGTAGTTTTTGCTCCTGGGATTGTTGAAAAAGTCATGTTTTGGCTCTGGGAAATTACCCATGTTGGATTAGATTCTTAATAATGCATTGGTTAATTAAAAAAAGGAAATAAACGATAGATGAATCCATAATACAAATTACCCTTAAATTGCATTAGCTCTTTCCTTCATGTACGAAATTCACGCGCATGCTCTTTACAACTAACTTCATAAATTATAACTTAGGAGCAGTGTTGCTTATTTGCAATACAATATAACAATATGCACAGACACTGAACACAGGTTTGGTATCACATAGTTTTAATGTAGAAAATGTGATGCACAGTTGAACACTTCTTGTTCCCACAGACCTCAAACTCAGCTTCCTAACATTCAGTAAAATGCACATCAGTGTGTGCAGCTCATCCCTTTTAGCTCTGTTGAACAAGCTCTGACAGCGTTACGTTTCATACGGTACATCTTGTAAGTGCACAAAAGTCTAAAAATAACTATTACTCATTAGTGACACTACATAATAATAATTATTTGGCAAAGAGAACAAAGAAATAGTCTGTTTGCAGCTCAAAGAGTCCTGTCGTGAATCAGGAAATGTTGAATACCACCAAGTATTATGTACATTACGGGTTCACAGCATATAGAAACTGCCGGATGCTAACTTGCAGATGTTGGGCATTTGCACAATTAGAAATAGTTGCATTAATTAGCATATGAAAACAATAGTTTAAAAATGGCTTGGACAATTTTGGAGTGTTTTTGGAGGTTTTTGCGGACGTTGAATCCATTTCTGACATTTTAAGGATCAAATATGGCAGTTTTAACCAAAAGTGGCCATATTTGTACTCTTAGTGGGCTGATTTGATGAGTTTTGGGCGTATTTTAAAGTTTTAGGGGACTCAAAACTGCCATTTCGGATCCTAACAATGTCAGAAATTGATTCAACATCCTCCCTTTTCCCTTAAAAGCACACCATAATTGTCCAAATCAGCCAAGCCATTTTTAAGCTATTGTCATATGCTAATTAATGCAACTTCTGCCAATTCTGCAAATTGCCCAACATATGCAAGTTAGCATCTGGCAGTTTCCATGTGCTATCCGTACTACACATTTTTATCATAACACTTTGGGGTCCTCAACATTTCACACGTTTTCACACTGCTGGCAAGTAGACTAAAACTGAAAGGCAAATCTGAAACTCACGCGGGAGGACGTGTTAACGGTTAGTATTAGTACAAAAAATAGATATATAAACAATATACAAATACAACAGAAACGTCTAAATGTCCATCCCTGACATATCATCCATGAAGGCAGAGCGAAGGATCAGAGTCTGAATCAGAATCAGGGCTGAGCCTCGGCTTCAGGCTCGTCGTAGATGTAGCTGCCGACGCCTCCAGTGTTTACACCTGAGAGAGGACGGAAAGAGACTTTTTAAAAAGGGCCAGTACACACTAAATACATCTATAAAATGCAATGATAAGCGTTAGAGGCAGACACACAAATGTATTATTGGACATTGGTCAATTTAAAGATGTCAATGAGCGTCTATCAGCCATGTTTTTGTGTAGGAATGTATTTCTACAGTCCTATTTTTCCCTTTTTTTATGAATAATCCAGACGACTGTAGCCTGTATTAATTGAGAGTCATTTCCTCTAGTGCAGGCGGTGAATGTAGGTGACTGTTGGCTGTTGTCTTTGCAGTATTTATTTTTCAAAAGTGTGTAAAAGGTTAATTTAAATGTGTTAGTTGCTTGTAGCGCTCATGCTGCCGTGTATACTACAGGAATTGAATAATTTATAATAAATAGTTAAATGACATGTAAACATACAACAATAAGCTTCGACACTCATGAAAAAAGGTATTTCTAATTGTGAAGACCTCTGTTTGTGATCATGCCTCTGCTCTAAAGCTGCACACATGCTTCAGAGAGAGACAGCCAGCATGTCTCTCGGGTCAAAAAGAATATTAAATTGAAAGCACAGATTCGTCCTTCATTAATATTATATCTAGCGGTCAGTGTCCACACACACTCACAAAGAAGAAGGCATCACTGGTTTCCTTTTTAATAAGAGCCAGAGCTTGATGGAGTGACGAGCTCCAAAATGTACTTCCTAATAAAAAAGTACCAAACTTAATTAAACGTAGTAAAGTCAAAATAATAGTCAGCACTATTTATGATTCTCTTGCCCTTTAACGGAACTCAAATCCGACACATAACGCCACAAAAACATGTATTTATTTGTTTGGCTTCACCCACTGAGGTTATCTAAAAAGACCTTCTGCAGAATGATGCAGTTAAATGGGAACTTTTTTTTTTGTATTATAACATAGTAACTGTATTTTCCCATGTTTGTGTGTGTTTTGAAATCGCTCCAGTATTGACTGACAGCTTATTAGCCTGCAATGTAATGATTGTGTGCAAATAAAGTACTTGTTTTTGCCAAGGATCAGATTATTAGTACAAGTATCTGACAACATTATGTAGAGAAACGGACATTTAGCTGGATCCGCTGAACTCTATGAATGTGTCGTTCTAAGTCTTGCTTAAGGAGATTTAAGTCTTGTTCTGAAATCTAATATTTATCTCTCTAAAATTACCTTTTGCAGTATTTAATTTACCGACATGTTTATGGTTTTGAAGCATTGTTGCACTGATATTGTTTCTGATGTCGTACCTTTGGGTCCAAACAGCACGGCGTAGCACGGTTTGTGGCAGTACGGCTGTCCATCGTGCTGCAACAGAGAGGAAAGCTCTTAAAGGTCACCTATTATGCAGAATCCACTTTCTCATGTCTCTTCTACATCAACATGTGTCCCCTCTTCTTCATGTCTCTTCTACATCAACATGTGTCCCCTCTTCTTCATGTCTCTTCTACATCAACATGTGTCCCCTCTTCTTCATGTCTCTTCTACATCAACATGTGTCCCCTCTTCTTCATGTCTCTTCTTCATCAACATGTGTCCCCTCTTCTTCATGTCTCTTCTACATCAACATGTGTCCCCTCTTCTTCATGTCTCTTCTACATCAACATGTGTCCCCTCTTCTTCATGTCTCTTCTACATCAACATGTGTCCCCTCTTCTTCATGTCTCTTCTACATCAACATGTGTCCCCTCTTCTTCATGTCTCTTCTACATCAACATGTGTCCCCTCTTCTTCATGTCTCTTCTACATCAACATGTGTCCCCTCTTCTTCATGTCTCTTCTACATCAACATGTGTCCCCTCTTCTTCATGTCTCTTCTACATCAACATGTGTCCCCTCTTCTTCATGTCTCTTCTACATCAACATGTGTCCCCTCTTCTTCATGTCTCTTCTTCATCAACATGTGTCCCCTCTGTGGAAAGAGACTCTGAAAGTTTCAGGAACAAAGATTCTCTCTCTTTTTGTCCTGATTCATTTTCATAAAAACCTGTCTGAAAATGAGCTGATCAGATTTTGGTCACTTTATGATGTCATAACGATGTTTTGTCTTGTGTAACCATTAGCCAATCACCAACCAAGGTAACCCCCCCCCCCCCTTATCACCTGAATCTCCTCCTAGAGCACCATTCAGGGTTCATACACTTTTTCACCAATGATTTTCAATGACTTTTCCATGACTTCTCCATGACCTTTACCTAATTTTCCATGACCAAAACAATGACTCTCTCAGCGGTACCACTGAAAATGGAACAGGAAAATAAGGTCTGCATCTGAAACATGTTGTGCCTATCTAAAACAAATCAAATAGGCTTACTAGCTTCTACACGCTAAAGCTACTCAAATCTCTCACCAGCAAAATACCTCGTCAGTTAAATGCCATTTTACGTTTCATTACTATACGATACAGTATTTATTATCATTATAGTATTACTATTTCGGCGATTAGATAAAATATAAATTATATTTGATGCAACTTTAGTTACATTTCCATGACTTTTCCAAAACTTTGGGAAAAATATTGTTTTCCATAACTTTTCCAGGGCCTGGAATTAGCATTTTGAATTTCCATGACTTTTCCAGGTTTTTAATGACCGTAAGAACCCTGACCATTGTGTTCTTTTTAACCAAATCTCTCTCAGAGGGGCGTGGGGAGTGGCTCCTTATTTTCATCTAAAGTAACAGACAGAGAATCAGCACTTTGGAAACAGGGCTGAAACAGAGGGGATTATGGGTAATGCTGCAATGATCTGTTTGGTGTTTCAGCCAATCAGAGACAGGTTCTGTATATATCTGAGACCTGTGATATATTGATGAAAAACAGTATAATAGGGGACCTTTAATCCCCCCTTCATGTGGACCCTTTTATTTATGAGATCTTCAACGTTTCTCACCTCTGCATGGCTGCCGGCAGATAAAGTCTTGCTGCAACGTTCACAACGAAGACAGGGCCGGTGCCAGTTCTTCCCCAGAGACGACACCTTCTCCGCTACACACACACCACACACACACACACACACACACCACACACACACACACACACACCACACACACACACACACACCCCACACACACACACACACACACACACACACACACACACACACACACACACACACACACACACACATACACACACACACACACACACACACACACACACACACACACACACACACACACACACACACACACACACACACACACCACACACACACACACACACACACACACACACACACACACACACACACACACACACCCCGTGGAGATAGTCACCAAGGAAACCAGTCACATTAGTCACTCAGACACATTCCTACACTCGTTCAGTTGAATGTGAGATATGATGATACACTGCTCACCAAAATACACGGTCTTGTTGCATCGGGGGCAGATGTTGGGTCCTCCGGAGAAAGATGAGAAACTTGCAGCTGAAAAAGAATCACATTCATTTGTTAAACTTATTTAAGTAATACTGTAAAAACACCATTGTCAAATAACACTGTGCTACGAGAGAGGCTGCTTTAAGGCAATCATTTAATACATGACATCTAATCTGATCTGAAGTAGCCAGGTCTTTTTATAGTGCATACCTTTGAGTCTTAATATATTGAAAACAGGTGAGTTATATTACAAGTTCACTCCATACAGTTGTCTTGAAAGGGGAAACTAGATATAGACCAAAATGTCTTTAGTTCAAGGCTGTTATCATATGTCTGCTCTCAAGTTGGTATTCTTAACATGTTGTCTATGCAGATGGACTCACTTTGGAGCCAGCTTCAAGTGGCCGTTTGAGGAATCACAGTTTTTGCTACTTTGGGGTTTACTTCATTTTTCAGAAGCATAAACACGCCTCTTGCCTTGTGATACAAACTGTGTTGAAACCATATACTGTATATATATATAGGTTAAAACCCCTATTATGTCAAAAGAAAGCTCATAAAACCTGAGTAATATTGACATAAGGAACGCCTCAATCAGGAAAAGCTACACTTGGCATAAGGCCTGATTCTGAATAACCAAACATAATATGCTATTACATGACATATATCGAATTTGAAGCATGCGCTTGGTTGTTTAATCACAGTGCACTCCGTTAGTTTCTCCAATTTCCCTCTGTTATTGTCTAATATCTGCCCCATATCCCCCCTGCAGAGAGGACTCATGTCATTTCTTTTCATTTCATTTCTCCTCCCGACATAATGGCTTCTATTTTCTGCTCCACATTACTCCTCACCCTTCACCGGTCCCCGCGGGGCTTTTTTCTGCTCCTCTGGTTTCGCATCTGTTTCCATTGAAACGGCAGCCGGGGCTTCGTTGGCGGGAGCGTCGTAAACGTAGGAACCGGCCCCCCCGATGTTCACGCCTAAAAAACACACACAAACGCTGCATTTACACACCTGGAAAAACAGGCTTATTGCACTTACACTTACACTATCTTACTGGATCTACATTTTCAAATAAATAAAAAACCTATTTCTCGAAATGTGTATTGTATAAAAGTACCTTACCTGAGTATTATCATTTATTCTGTATATTTTATATTGTGTATTCTATATATATTACTCTTCATACTCTATTTATATGTGTCTTTTCTACTGTGGATATGTATATATTCTTTCATTTTGTATTTGTTGTTGTTTTTTATATTTTAAACTCATGTCTCATGCCTGAGTATATTGCTGAGGTGACAAAAACAATTTCTCAATTTGGGATGAAAAAATTATCCATCTATCTTTCTGTATCCATCTTAAGAATCGTAAAATGTACGGAGTGTTATTGCTTTCATTTTATGCAAACTGGACCCTTTTTTCTCAATGTTTTTACATAAATAAGATGAAATGGCACCTTTTGGTCCAAAGAGGGCGGCGTAGCACGGCTTGTGGCAATAAGGCGTCTCGTTGTGCTGCAAAAAACAAGAAGGGGAAGTCAGCAGATACATCCAGAATGTAATAAAGTGCCTTTACTAAAGTACTGTACTTAATTACAATTTGAGGTACTTGTACTTTATCTGAGTATTTTTATATTTTCAGTCCTTTATACTTGTAATTCTCTTCATTAGTTACTTGACAAATTCACATTAAAGGTAGGGTAGGTAAGAATGGAGAAACCAGCTCGAGTGCGCTAGAATTTGAAAGTACACAACCGAAAAAAATCTGCCACTTCCTTACAGAGCCCCTCCTCCAACACACACGAACGCGCACATGACCAATGAGGGCACGAGATAAGTTTGTGCACAGATGGAAGGCTGACAGGCAGGTAGGCCATCCAGTTATCTGATCCGGGCCGGCTCAGATGATTGGTCGTGCTTTTTACAGTACTACGTCTTCCACAGATGATATTTTTTATGGATTTATTGTCAAAGCATTTAATGTATTCATTGCTATCGGGATGTTAAGAGCATTCCATGGAATATAACAACAAGTGTATCTGAAGTGAATTACCTACCCCACCTTTAATAGCTGATACAAAATGTAAACCAACTAATAAATATAAATTGACTTGTAATTAGAGCTGGGATGAACACATTAATGCATTCATATTCATAATCCAGTAATTTAATATATATGATTCTGAATTTGTCAAAAAATAAGTACTTTTACTTTTGGTTCATTCAAGATATTTTGATGTAGGGTGAGCATTTTTTTTTTAAATACATGTCTTATTATTATCTTTATTTTTACAATTAAGTAATTCTAGTTTTACTCCAAAGATCTGAGTACTTGTTCCACCTCTGTGTCTCACCCAGAGTGGAAAAGTTTAGTTCATTTGTTCTGTATGTTTGGATCCACATAAGGCCCAATAACAAAGACTTACTCACAGACGTTTGTAAGACTTGTCGACACTCTGCTATTTTATCTGCTAACAGCATCTTTGTTAGATAAATATGAACATCGTTCTTCTCTTCTCAGTTTACCCAAAGTGCATTTGATTATTCTCCATCAAAGCCAGCTCCCTGCAAAAAGACAGCATGCTCTCTTTGAAAAATATGTGTTCATAGAAACTCTTGTGCCAGGAAATCGTCCACAGCTTGACTCCCATGTTCGACCCCTTTTAGGGATAAAACGTGCTCCATGTGAAGTGAAAGCCCCTCATCATTCAGACTGTAGTGTCCTCCAAGTTCATGCACTGTGATGGCTTTATTCAGACATGTCTGATGGGCTTTTGAGTGTCTTTCACACAGGAGGCGTGCAAATGTGTTCACAAATTATCGACAACAAATCTTACACTGACTTTTAGAGATGCACGATGGTATTGGCACGTCATCAGTACGAGCAGATAAAGAATATAAGCAAGAAATGAACATGTCCTCAAATGCCTGGGCGTTCATCTGAACAATCATCTGGACTGGACTGATAATTCTGCTGCTCTGTACAAGAAGGGACAGAGCAGACTCTTTCTGCTGAGGAGACTGAGGTCTTTCGGGGTGCAGGGGGCACTCCTTCAGACTTTTTACGACTCTGTTGTGGCATCAGCCATTTTCTATGGTGTGGCCTGCTGGGGCAGCAGCATCTCGGCTGCTGACGGGAAGAGACTGAACAGACTGGTAAGGAAGGCCAGCTCTGTCCTGGGGAGTCCTCTGGACACTGTGGAGTCGGTAGGAGACAGGATAATGGCAGCCAAGCTGTCCTCCCTGCTGGACAATGTGTCCCACCCATGGATGTATAATAAGAACTGGATACAGCGTGGGAGGCGGGGTCTCGTTCTTTCCTATGAGAGCTGCTCATTGGCGCATGAGGACAAAATGGCCCAACTTTTGAGAGAGCGAAACGTCACAGATTACCCATCATGCCTGGCTGTCAGAGCAGAAGAACCCGTATGTGCGCTCACAGAGCAAGCGCCCCTTAAGCCCCGCCCCCCGAGCTCCCACTCTCGGCCTCTCTAGAATGAATGGAGAGAGAAAATAAATCTAGATTTGGCTTTTAGTGCATTTTACAACTTTAAGGACTTAATGATTCTAATAAGGGCTATCAAATAGTTCATACTGGGTAGTTTATTTAGTTAAAATTATCCGCTGATTTACAGACGTAAATTATTTTTTTTATTATATTTTTTATTGTATCATAACTTAGTACTTTTTCATGCATGTAACATATGTAACATAATGTAACATTAAGCTGTCTGTGGCTCTTTTTTCTGCTGCAACTACGTAAATGTCCCCTCTGTGGGACTAATAAAGGTATTCTGATTCTGACTCTGATATGACAGGCCCATAAAATGAAGCTTATTAGCATCTGACACAAACTGCTAATGAAGCGTGAGTGCAAAAACAAATAGTGGAGGTTTAAAAAAAAAAAAAAGGAAATAAAAGTAATAATCATGATTGTCGCAGGAACAGTATCATCCAGTCTGGTTAAAGTAGGATGAATCAATCAGCTGTGTTTGTAAAAATAATCAATCAATGAATCAATCGTGATTATTAATGCCAGGGGGATTTTAGGTTTGTGTCAGTTGCATCATATTAGAATAAAAAACATATAATTATTGATAAAACCAAAAGTTAAAACACGGCATGTTACATGAAGCCTAACTTAAATTATTACTTTATTGAATGTGTACATTTTGAAAGCAATGCAATGTTTTTCTGCATCTGCCATCAACAGTAAGAATAACTCTACTAAAGGATAGAAATGATAGAAGAAGTATGTGCATATATCAGCATCAACACTCGGGTACAATACGTTGAACAGGGAACAGGGAGTTGTGTGGCGCAGTGGACTAGTGCGTTGGTGTTCGGATCAGTGGAGCACAGGTTCAAACCCCACTGCAGTCAGCATGTCGTTGTGTCCCTGAGACACTTCACCCCAAAGTGCTCCTGTGGGGATTGTCCACAGTATTGAGTATGGAAGTCGCTTTGGATAAAAGCGTCTAACAAGTAACATGTAATGTAAAAAATGTAATGATCAAGTTTGTCATATTAGTATAAAAATACAATATCGTGAATCCCTACTAACTATACAGAATCACCATTAAACCAAGTGGAGCTTTTCCCTCATGACAGAGAGCACTGTTCTTAACTTCCTTTTTAAAAGCTCACTAAAACACAGCAAAAACCAGAAAAATGCATATATACTAATAAGATAAAAGTGCCTATAGCAGGGGTCTCAAACTCAAGGCCCGGGGGCCAAATCCGGCCCGCGACTTCATTTGATGTGGCCCCGCAAGAGCTTGCAAAGAATATAATACGTTTATTATACGGTTACAGAAGCAGGTTGCCCATAAACTACATGTCCCACAATGCATCTCGTTTTGTGACATGCACACTGAAGAGACTTGCAATTATTTGCCCTGGACTTCTGCTTTCAGACGTAGTTAATTACTAAGTTATTATCCTATCCGATAATAATCCAATTCAGAGGCAATAATGTAATATAATACATTATTTTATATATATATTATATATTTATATAGTTACAACCGGCCCTTTGAGTGCAACCTTTATGTGAATGTGGCCCGCGATGAAATTGAGTTTGACACCCCTGGCCTATAGGCTTGTTTTGTACTGCCCTAAATGTAAAAGCTCACACCACAAATATTCTGAAATCTAATCCACTGAAGCGCTGGTATCGGTGTTCGATCTGCACGCGAGATAGAGACGCTTCAACGATAAATAGAGTATGCAAATAAAATGTGAGCAGATCCTCAGACGCTTTCCCTTCTTGCCTTTGACCTCAGAGACCTCGACAGGAAGCGTGTGGTTAGTTTGTGGTGAGACAGTCACCGTAATGACTTCCCTGCAAGCTTCCTAGTGGTTTAGAAAAGTCAATAGAGTGAAAGTTGAACCACAAATCTCACTTCTCTTTTGGTTAACGGCCAAATGAGTCATATCTCTGCTTGGGTTGCAGTGTACAGTCATACCGAGTGTGTTTGAAACGGCTACAGCCTGTCACTGCACGTGGTTTAATGATTCATTTAGGACCTTTTCAAGATTCAAGGCTTTTATTGTCATGTGTACAAAGCTACAGTGAAGATATGTCAATGAACATCTGAGGTCACAGGTTCCTCCAACAGAGCAACACAATAAAACAGATAATAGTGCAAGTAAATACAAATAAAATAGAATGGAAATAGTGCAAGGAGAAGCACTCGACGAAAAGTAAACGAACACTGAAATAATACGAAATAAAGAAGCCAAAGACACGGCAGCCATCTTCATATTTTAGGACCTTTTCTATGCAGATCCTTTTCTTCAGGCTGTGATATATTTCACTAGTGTCCCCGCTAGATTAGCATCATCATGCACATCTCAACATTAAAAATATACTCCTTCAAATGTAACTGTCTGTCACTTCCTGTCCTCTTACCTCAGCGTGGCCTCCAGGATTCAGCGTCTTGTTGCAACGCTCACACTTCAGACAGAACTTGTGCCAGTCTTTCCCTAAAGACGTCACCTTCTCCGCTGCAGAGAAGAAGAAGAAGAAGAAGAAGAAGAATTTACATCAACCTGTAACTTCTACAGAGTTACATGCACATGTTTATGGTGTTTATGGGACATTAGGCCTTTCAAAACGGATATGAAGATCCAGATAAGATGAAGGGTAGACAGTTATGTTAAATAATCTCACTCGCCACCACCACCCCTACATAATAAACACATTAATGGTTATTATGGCATGACGATTAAATTCACTTTTGGGTAAAATAATTCAAAGATGGATACTACTGTAAGATAATACTTGCACATTTTTCCCCTTCAACTTATTATGTTTATATAAATATCTATATATCTTATTTTAAAATCAGCATCATATGATAATGTGACTTCAGAAGGAAAATAAAAATGTTTGCATGATTCTTGCTTTAAAAAAAGACTAGAAATGGAATCCTAAAGCATAATTATAATCCAGTATTATCCCCTTATTCTGAAACAGTCATTTATCTTTTGGTTGTTTTAGAAAAGACGCTGAGACCTGCGTTCTTCAGGAGAGAACAGCCGGTCTCTGACTGTCCCTGAATTCCTCAAAGACTGATACAACGAGACACTTCCTGTTCACACTCCAGCCTGCCACTGAGGTGTGTGTGTGTGTGTGTGTGTGTGTGTGTGTGTGTGTGTGTGTGTGTGTGTGTGTGTGTGTGTGTGTGTGTGTGTGTGTGTGTGTGTGTGTGTGTGTGTGTGTGTGTGTACAAAATGTACAGCAGTGTGCTCTTAAAATTCCACACTAATCTACTGACCAAACAACACTAACATTTTTCTCTGTATTTCTTTAAAGAATGATATTTAAGAGCAAAATCTCCGTTTGTTTATGACTTGTTTTTAATTATGTTCCTCCCTCTATATTTTATATCTGTAAACACTTTGAGATGCATCTTGGATGAAAGGTGCTATATAAATAAAGCATATTATTATTATTAATATTTAGAATAAAGTTTATTCAATTATTTGTTTACTGATTATTAAATTGTTTGCAGATACTTGTGTTTTAACTACTTCTTGTCTTGCCTGTCTCCGCTCAAAACAGAATAAAGCAACACAAAATAAACAGACTACAGAAAAGGAAAACCTCAAAAAGCATTTTAGGTATAAATATTGATTATTTTTAATATAATTATATTCAAAAACAATGATGTTTCCACCCGTATCGAACCAAAAGTCTAAGTATTTAAGTTTACTAAATAAACCACAAACACTCATTTGACCTGGCTCACCATTACATGTGTTATTTATGAATGAGTGCATGACTTTTGGCATATATAAGTCCAAACAGTGACCCTGTAACAACCCTATAAAACAACTCAGACCTACATATTACAAACATGTTTCATCAAAGACAGAAACCAGCTACATCCTGATCTAATGAACCCGCTGCTGTAATAATCTGCAGTCTAGTCTCAAAGGCCTCAGTTATATTTCCCAGTGTGGATGAAACTTAATAAAATACCTCAGCTGGAGATGGATGATTGAGACTCCAACATGTAGGCAAGTTGTGACGCAGCTGAGCTATTATTGCTTCACTCTGGATAAGATAACAGAGAGCCATTAACGGTCTGACCTGTTATCTGACAGCTCTTCATAATAACTCCTCTAAGTGACCTTTTTACCAGCTCTATTGCTTCCTATGAGCGACTTAATAGTGTATCCTCTTACTGAGGAGTGAGTTTAGTCACCATATATCAGGTTTCAGCTTCTTTTGATTATGTAGCAACACCACATGGCAGTGTAAATAATTGATTGACTGCTCATGCATGACTTGGATCGATTTTCTTTTTGTTCTTTATTCCTCTGGAGACACCCCGCCCTGCAGCTTCAGCTGAACATGCTCCTTCCTACTTGAGACTCTGCAGTACATGTACAATAAACATGTTTCCTCTGGCAGTGTGTGTTATTGTTTTGGAGCAGCACGGGGGATTTATAGCAGTGGAGACGCGTGTTGTACATTTTAAGCTCAGACATTTGGTCTATTTTTAGATTTTGGGCTTCAAAGTTGTCAGTGTTCATAAAATAATTTGTGATTCGTATTTATTTCAAGCCACGTGTACATCCAGCTTTCATTTATACAACACATACATCGCGGGGAAGGATAGAAAAAGGAAGCCAAAAATATATATGCTTTTTGGGGTTGTCTCTTTACTGTAGTGTGTTCTAAAGGTTTTAGTGCATGTAAATGGTCTTCAAAGGCTACAATACCCTGTGTTCCCCCCTGTCTGAAATGCCTCCTTTGTTTACTTCCAGTACATACTGACATCACTATGTAACACTCGCGCTCCTATTGGCTATCGCTCCAACACATTGTACGTGATAGGTTAAGGGGGCTGGACATCTTTAAGCGGGTGACCAATCACAACAGAGCTGGCCAGCAAACCAATCAGAGCAGACTGGGCTCTGGTTTCAGACAGTGGGTGAAAAGAGGTGCTGCAGCACAGGCAGTATGAGAACAATAAAGAGCTTTTTGAACAATAAAGCATGAACTCTTTAAAGTAGAGACACTACATACTGATATACACCTGAACATCAGCAGGAGAGGACTCTTTAAAGTAGAGACACTACATACTGATATACACCTGAACATCAGCAGGAGAGGACTCTTTAAAGTAGAGACACTACATACTGATATACACCTGAACATCAGCAGGAGAGGACTCTTTAAAGTAGAGACACTACATACTGATATACACCTGAACATCAGCAGGAGAGGACTCTTTAAAGTAGAGACACTACATACTGATATACACCTGAACATCAGCAGGAGAGGACTCTTTAAAGTAGAGACACTACATACTGATACACACCTGAACATCAGCAGGAGAGGACTCTTTAAAGTAGATACACTACATACTGATATACACCTGAACATCAGCAGGAGAGGACTCTTTAAAGTAGAGACACTACATACTGATATACACCTGAACATCAGCAGGAGAGGACTCTTTAAAGTAGAGACACTACATACTGATATACACCTGAACATCAGCAGGAGAGGACTCTTTAAAGTAGAGACACTACATACTGATATACACCTGAACATCAGCAGGAGAGAACTCTTTAAAGTAGAGACACTACATACTGATATATACCTGAACATCAGCAGGAGAGAACTCTTTAAAGTAGAGACACTAAATACTGGTATACACCTGAACATCAGCAGGAGAGGACTCTTTAAAGTAGAGACACTAAATACTGATATACACCTGAACATCAGCAGGAGCGGACTCTTTAAAGTAGAGACACTAAATACTGATATACACCTGAACATCAGCAGGAGAGGACTCTTTAAAGTAGAGACACTACATACTGATATACACCTGAACATCAGCAGGAGAGGACTCTTTAAAGTAGAGACACTACATACTGATATACACCTGAACATCAGCAGGAGAGAACTCTTTAAAGTAGAGACACTACATACTGATATACACCTGAACATCAGCAGGAGAGAACTCTTTAAAGTAGAGACACTAAATACTGGTATACACCTGAACATCAGCAGGAGAGGACTCTTTAAAGTAGAGACACTAAATACTGATATACACCTGAACATCAGCAGGAGAGGACTCTTTAAAGTAGAGACACTACATACTGATATACACCTGAACATCAGCAGGAGAGGACTCTTTAAAGTAGAGACACTAAATACTGATATACACCTGAACATCAGCAGGAGAGGACTCTTTAAAGTAGAGACACTACATACTGATATACACCTGAACATCAGCAGGAGAGGACTCTTTAAAGTAGAGACACTAAATACTGATATACACCTGAACATCAGCAGGAGAGGACTCTTTAAAGTAGAGACACTACATACTGATATACACCTGAACATCAGCAGGAGAGGACTCTTTAATCTACAGTAAATTATACATCCAGTGTCATCTTTTTCAAAGCCTCTCATAATATCACTATAATAAACCTTTAGGTATGCTTTTAATTAGAGGTAACAGAGACAAAAGCCCACAAATATACATTTGAAATGGAGAATATAGTTGTGTGATTTGACAATATGAATCTTGCGATTAAAATTATATAGTTTTGTCCACTCTGTTTTACCATTAATATCATGGTAGCTGTCCTTTTTAAACATTTGGTTTTGTGGAATTACCAAAAACATGATGCACCACACCTACAAGAAAACTTAAATTTCCCAAAGTGCTCTTACAATAGAAAATCTGAAATAATTGAGAACATAATGCTAACATTATATTTTATGTCCAAATATTAAGAATGATCTGCATATTAATTGGATAATTTATTAGATTTTAAATACATTATAACATAGGTGGCTTAACACCATAATTATGTCTATGTGACCAAGCCCCATCTGTAATAACAATATTTCTGCAAAAATCATTTAGCAAAGGTTATGATTTGTGGATGCTGGGGATACAGGTTTTTACAGATATAAAATAATAAAACATGAAAACCATTGTGTTGTCATTGTCTGCACGTCACCTCAGATCACACTGTATATAATTCGTGTAGCTGCATGGTTTATAATAAATCAAGTCTCACTGAAAACACGTGTTATGCCTTAAGAAACGTGAGGAATTTTAGAATAACGGAAGGTATTAGTGAGAGCCTTCTGCTGTGATAATAACCCCGAGGCTGGGGCGGGGACAGATAAAACATGCACTCACCGAAATACACCGTCTTGTCGCATTTTGGACATTTTGACGCCATGTTCGGGTGGACAAAGAGAAGAAGACGCTCTTTCTGTCGGTGCTCCGGCGACCTGTGTGTGTGTCTGTCTGTGTGTGTCTGTATGTATCTCTGTCTGCAGACACACCTCAGAGGATGGTGGATGGTGGAGAATGAGTGGGACTGAGCTCACATCCTCCCTTTGATTGTTGTTGCCTCATTTGCATAGCCACGCCCCCATGATGACATCATGCCGTTTTCATTCTCAAATACAGCAGATAGAAAATCCTAAATATCTATATTTAGCCTAACTGAACATCAATTAACGGTTTACTACTGCTATTATTGATTCATGATGACATCACTGTTCTTTATAACATGTGTTATTCTACCTTTAGGTGGGAAAAAACATTGAGTCTATATTTAGTTAAAGTAAATTGTATGGCTGGGCAATACATCGATATTGAGATATGAGACTATTTTTCTTCTTAGATTTCTGATGTTGTTATATAGAAATATTCTTTATTTCCTGGTTTTAAAAGCTGCATTTAAATTCTTTCAGATTAACTGATGATTATTTACGCCAGCCCTATACACTTGTACTTAATATTTATAATACTTAATATTTCTGCCAAGCGTGTGGGGTAAACATTGCATTGTTGAAAACTGCATAAATATATATATTATTTGTTTTACTTATAATATGTACTGTAGCTTGAAGTATATATGCAATTGGGAAATACCACTTTCTATGAGGACATACCTTGGACATATTGGACCAAGAAATAACATAATATTTGGTCATATGGTTATTAAAACCTTGCAGAGTGTTGACTTTAGCCCAAAAGCCAGTGGAAATTATAGTAATTTTGTCCTGTTAATGGCAGATTGACAAACTGCATATCTGTCTTTAGTGAAGAGCAAGACCTGTCAGCAGCTATACTGTATCTACCAAATGTCAATGTACATCAAGTATCCACAAATAATAATTGCAAAAACTTTTGTTGACACTCTTTTCCTTCAGTTGCACTAGCAGGTCAACTTTCTATCTTAAATCCAGATACAAAAACGTATTCTGGGGGGGGATATTAGAATGAAATCCATTGTTTCGTATTGTCTGATAATGGACTTCAACTGGAAAATTGATTATTGTTCATTAGCTGAAACACAGAAAGCCAGGATACATTCACAGTTATGAACCAGATTCTTCAAGAGGTGCATGGTTGCAGGTGCTTTTATTTTGGAAAAGCGAATAATCCTACATCCTAGCAATGTTTGGTGGGCTGCATTAATCAGGGTCACCCTTCAGCTGTGTTTGTTTCCTGTCTGGTTGTTAGGTTACCCCGCTCTTCACTGGGAATGTTAAGTGAAGCTCTGCAGCTCCATGGAGAGCGGCTCTGGACATATTTGGCACACAGATACAAAGAGAACTGACATATAAGGTGGCCTTTTGTGTGAAATGATAACATTTAAATATAGATTTAAAAAAATCTATGGTAAAAATGTAACAGAAATAGACATTTTTTCAAGTTTTTGAACCAAATGTGCAAATAAACGCAACAAATAGCCACATTTTCTTCTTCCTTTTTTTCTAAATATGTGACTGAACCAAAAATTGAAAGATAAAATCGGCAATAAGACTAAATGGAATCCTCTTAAAGCTTAAAGGGATCATATTCTGCTGATGTTCAGGTGTATATCAGTATGTAGTGTCTCTACTTTAAAGAGTCCTCTCCTGCTGATGTTCAGGTGTATATCAGTATGTAGTGTCTCTACTTTAAAGAGTCCTCTCCTGCTGATGTTCAGGTGTATATCAGTATGTAGTGCCTCTACTTTAAAGAGTCCTCTCCTGCTGATGTTCAGGTGTATATCAGTATGTAGTGTCTCTACTTTAAAGAGTCCTCTCCTGCTGATGTTCAGGTGTATATCAGTATGTAGTGTCTCTACTTTAAAGAGTCCTCTCCTGCTGATGTTCAGGTGTATATCAGTATGTAGTGTCTCTACTTTAAAGAGTCCTCTCCTGCTGATGTTCAGGTGTATATCAGTGTGTAGTGTCTCTACTTTAAAGAGTCCTCTCCTGCTGATGTTCAGGTGTATATCAGTATGTAGTGTCTCTACTTTAAAGAGTCCTCTCCTGCTGATGTTCAGGTGTATATCAGTATGTAGTGTCTCTACTTTAAAGAGTCCTCTCCTGCTGATGTTCAGGTGTATATCAGAATGTAGTGTCTCTACTTTAAAGAGTCCTCTCCTGCTGATGTTCAGGTATATATCAGTATGTAGTGTCTCTACTTTAAAGAGTCCTCTCCTGCTGATGTTCAGGTGTATATCAGTATGTAGTGTCTCTACTTTAAAGAGTCCTCTCCTGCTGATGTTCAGGTGTATATCAGTATGTAGTGTCTCTACTTTAAAGAGTCCTCTCCTGCTGATGTTCAGGTGTATATCAGTATGTAGTGTCTCTACTTTAAAGAGTCCTCTCCTGCTGATGTTCAGGTGTATATCAGTGTGTAGTGTCTCTACTTTAAAGAGTCCTCTCCTGCTGATGTTCAGGTGTATATCAGTATGTAGTGTCTCTACTTTAAAGAGTCCTCTCCTGCTGATGTTCAGGTGTGTATCAGTATGTAGTGTCTCTACTTTAAAGAGTCCTCTCCTGCTGATGTTCAGGTGTATATCAGTATGTAGTGTCTCTACTTTAAAGAGTCCTCTCCTGCTGATGTTCAGGTGTATATCAGTATGTAGTGTCTCTACTTTAAAGAGTCCTCTCCTGCTGATGTTCAGGTGTATATCAGTATGTAGTGTCTCTACTTTAAAGAGTCCTCTCCTGCTGATGTTCAGCACAGAGATTTTAGTCTTTGCAGACCAGTTACATGAATACAAATCTATATAATACTCTACAGGAGACGGAAAACCCCCAAAAAGCACAATAAGGTCTCTTTAATGTGTCTAAACTTTATACACAAAATGGTGTGCTTCTTATCTGCTCGCCCCTAAAATCATGTTGAGCTATAACACAGAGAAACCAGCCAATAAGAATGTAACCAACACAGCATTAATATATATATTGTATGTCCCCTTTAACATTCACCTCGTTTTACTTCCAATGTCTCGCCAAAAATGCGATGGACAGAAGAAGGTAGAAGACGTTGAGCCGTGGATTTGTGCCAGTTTTTCCTTTCCATCGAGTCCTCTAAGCTGACAAGTGCATGCTGTATTTTTCAATAAGATAAACAGATTCAGCAAAGATGGAAACAGTTGCAAATCGTTTCCACATACTGCACTTGGTGTTGAGCCACACAGGGCCTGGAAATGCTGTAATCTTAAAATAAACATCCAGATTGTGTCTCAATGTAAGTTTGGCTCGGTCCTCCACAGTGACTGGATATTAGCTCAAACTGATCCGTCTCATATCGGCCTGAATTATTCCACTGTTGCTCTACTGAATACGTGCCTGTGGTTTTTGATATGGTGTCATACCTTAGATTTGAGGTTTTGACGTCACATCATTTTGTCATTTGGTTTATGCATAAAACATTTTTTTTTAACTACAGTTTTTTGCATGATGTTATTTTATTCCTTAAGGTGATGCTACAACAACTGGAACACCACCAATTCATGAATGGACATCTGAAAACAACAACAAAGAAACAGACTGCAAACATCCAGAAGGACCAGGTAGTGACTGAAGAGAAGAAATACATTTAACAGCTAAAAACCTCTGACTATATTTCACACTTGGGACTTCTCTCTTTCCAGCTCTGTGGTGGGTCATCATGGTGCCTGTGGGGTTAGCAGCTCTCATCATCACCGTGGTTACAGTCCACATCTGGACCAGAGCTAAAGGTGAGGGTTCATACATTAAGGAAAAAAGTAAACCGTTGAAGCTGAAGTCAACATGTTTGTCCTTTTGTTTTTTTTCAGGGGACAAAAATCGGATGACAAAAAACCTTGTGAATTTAAATATTAAATAATAGCTTGTAATATTTATTATTTTAATTTAACTGTGATTATAAGACAGGCAGAAGATTCAACAAAGGAGTCAAATGTGCATGTTGTGTTGAAATGAAGGATCTCTGTGGTTCCCTTGAGCAAGGCACTAAAGGAAGTACTGAGATATTGTACGTCAATAAAAGTAGCAATACTACAATGTAGAAATACTCTAATATATAAATATGATTAATAATGAAAATATATTATGCAGAATGGCACATGTAATAATATAATATCTGATTATAATAAGTGATGTTTTAATGTGTATCACTTCCATTTTGGAATGTATAGTTTATTAAAATTACTTGACTTGATTACTGGGTAGCTTAACTCGTTATATTTGTCATATAATATATCATAGATGGTGATTTCTGCTCAATTTAAGAATGAAGTAAATAAAAAATAAAAAAAAGGAATATAAAAAATGTTAAAGCAAGAAGGTGTAATACAAATGAATGGATGTAGACGAGTAAAAAGCTCAACATTAGGCTCCAAAATAAGGTGCAGTTCAAGTGTAAAGTAGCATTAACGTCTCTGTTCCATGTTGACAGGAGCAGAATGATGAAGATGAAGATGAAGATGAGGTGAACTATGAAAACGATGGAGAGCCTTCTGCCTCTGTGTGACTGATCAACAACATCAACTCCCCTCAGAGTCCATGCTGTCAAACATCACCTCCTCATATTCTACAGGAGAAAACAGGAGAACCATGAGATCATTGGAACATTTCTGATAACTGAGAACACCTGAGCCCCACGAGAGGCCCTTCAGAAACTCACCTCCATATGATAGGAAACAAAGCTCATTATATTCATTCATTTCTGATTTCACATCCTTTAAGTATGCTCTCACATTCCCATACATATTATACTATTGCTTAAACTTAAAACTTAAAGGGGACCTATCATGCAAAATGCACTTTTGTACGTCTTTTATACATGAATATGTGTCCCCGGTGTTCCAGGGAACTCACCAAGTGTCAGAAAACACAACCCTCTCTATTTTCCTCCATACCCAAATCTATAAAAAAGGGGCTGCAACGGATCTGATAAAAACTGATCCAGATTTGCACACTGTCCTGACGTCAGGACGGTGGCACTACGGCTATTGGGCCAACTCCACCAATCAGGAGGAGACAGCCACGGCCATTGCCGTTCGAAAGCGCTGGAGACGCTGTAGTACATATGCCAGGCCTGTAGATGGTGCTGTTCTCACTGAATCAGCCCTTGCAAAAACAGAGCTAAAAAATTTCAAATTGTGCGAAATGAGGCATGGCTAAAATGCATGATCTGTTTGGTATTTTGAAAAAAAATAAGTATAAATATGCCTTATATAGGTATGGTCCTACACTATATTATTCAAATATAGCATGATAGGTCCACTTTAAACTTCCAGCTGTTTATTCTGTATATCATTTCTTATTATCACCATTCCTTGTACTCACAGTATATATTTTATTAGTATACCTTCACTTCTTACAGTAACTGCTGCACATCATCATACATATCAGTGTTGGGTTGAATTCATAAAATATTCTAAATTGTAAATTATCCCTAATCTATATTTTTTCATTGTGCTCTCTAAGGACTATCAGTCAAACTTGGTTCAATCAATTTAAAAAAATGATTTTGATTGTTGTTGGTAATTAATTATTCATAAAATGTCTTCTTGTCAGCATTACATGTCCGTACACCTACATTATATATACCTGTACTGCCTACTGTAACTGTCGCACATGTTCATGCTCTACATATCTGATCAATAGTCATACAATATATTTACTGTACTCACTTTTTATTCTATATGTATTCCTAAAACTGAAATGCCTACAGTATTTTAGGATGTTTTAATTAGCTTAAGTCTTAATGGAATACTGTATGTTACTCTCTTTGTTTTACTACAGCTTTAATGATATATAATCCAAATAAAAATTGTTATTTTATTACATGTTATAATGAGTTGTGTTTCTCTCTCTATCTCCAACACACTGACAACCAAACGCTTTGTTGGGTTGAACACCTCTCTTTGACCTGGCTCTCACTTTGTAAACAACATACAGTTTGTGTCAGAGCCAAGTAAGGTGTTGCACATTTAGTGGAGCTGTGGTGATATCCTGGGATCAGGTATGAGGCAAGAAAGAAAGTGATACAGTTTGATTCAGCGTTCCTGGAGAGTGCATCAGAGCTGTCACAGTCTGCTTTCTCACTCACCTATTTTCCGCATTAACATTCCTTATTCACCTGGTAGCCACACCCTGTCTCTCTCTCTCACTCTGTTACACCCATCAGCTCCATTAGTATATAGGCCCACTTCACTTTCACCTCAGTGCCAGATCGTACTTTGCAGCATGCCAGTCTTTCCCGCATTACTTTCCAGATTGCTCTCCCGGTTTCGACCCTGCCTGTCCCTGACCAGCCTGCCTCGCCTGTTTCCTGACCCTGCCTGTACCCGGACTATTCTGCCTTGCCTGCTCCCTGACCCGGTCTGTACCTGCGACTCCCGTCTTGCCTTCTCCTGGAACCCTCGCCTGTCCCCGACCAGCCCTTTGCCTACTATCTGCCTTTTCGTCTCCTGCCAGTTTATTGCCTTAAATAAAGCTGGTTACCGACTATCCCTGGTTTCCCGTGTGTTGCATTTTGGTCCTCAGCTCGTTTGTGACAAGAGCGTCATAGAGGAAGCTCTAAGAATGGCACATCGAGAAGAGGCTAAAGAACCTGGCTAGGTGGCTATAGACCTTTTCAAATCCCCTGATCAACATCCTGTCAGCTTTCAGTGTGGTCCTCCGGTTCAGTCAACGCTTCATCTTTTGAGCAGAAGCCCATTTTGCCAGTTCTTCTTTGGCTCCGAAAACAAATACCTCAGTTTTATCTTTGTTTATATAGAAATGTATTTATTAGGATAAACCCCTTGAGATGCACCATCTAGTTTTTAAGGGGGTCCCGACAAAAGCAAAATAACAGAATGCAAAGCATGACAAAACAAGGACAAACCACGTACAGTCTGTCCCTCATCTCTGCAGTGTGCAGAACATGAAACTCCGTCAGATAAAACATCTTGGAGAGTTGAGTGTAGCGTCCTATAGTCAGGTCAGAGAGATTGCTCTAAGAATGGCACATCCAGAAGAGTCTGCAGTGTGAAGAGCATGAAACTATTTCAAAACAACATGAACATTACACCGGCTAATACATGTGTTTAAAAGTAGGCCATTAAAGTGAGTTTCATTAGACGCTCGTTGAGTTAAACACGTACCTTATCTGCTCAGCATCAGAGGGTAAAACCACAGTTTAACCGGGTTAACAACCAGGTTAACCTGTGGTTAACCACATCCTCACAGAAACACTTCCCCTTCAGTTCCCAGAAGGGAAATAAAGAAGCAGCCGGTGAGAGACTCTGACAGTCGAGAGCCAGAGACCGAGAGAGAAGCACGATGTCTGAATTCAGAAGGATCATGATGTCTTCATTCCTGATGCTGCTGCTCCACTTTACAGGTGAGGATGCAGAGAACACACACTGTTTACGACTGTTAATGAAAGGTAGTGAGGGCGTCTTTCAATTGAAATCGATGTATCCTTGGGCAAGATGCTTAACCCCAAGTCTCTCCCAATGGGGAACGGTGTGTGAATGATACCTTCTGTCGTGGAGTTTGAATCCGTTTCTACATTTAATATCCACTTTCCTCTATCGGGGTTGTGGGTTATGACGCGCCTCTCTTTGCTTCCTAACTAACTTTGCAGAGATCGTTGTAGCGTTGAATCACATCAGGTTTATTCATTGATCAAGGCGACATACAAACATGAAGACAAACTTCCTCGCTTCAAATAACTAAAAGTTCTCCGTATCAAAAAAGAACAAAAAGAACACGGTCAAAAGACTCTACCGCATCCTGTCTAATCACACCCTCAGCTGTGAACTAATGTCATGCCATATATAGACATATAGACATGCACGTCATACCTGACAGCGCACATTTGCAAATAAGTGAGACTTAAACTAACATAATTTAAAGCGTAGTGTGACTCACAAAAATAAATAGTTAAGAGTTTCCTCTAAAGCCTTTTAGTAATAAGACAAACATTCAAACCATAATGATGAAAGGGAAATGGCTCTAACCCCTTCATTGAGCAAGGGGCACATTGCTCTGTATGAATTGGGTGTGAATGGGTGACTTGTTGTATGTAAAGCGCTTTGAGGGGGTGAAAGACTGGATAAAGTGCTTTATAAATACAGTCCATTTAACATTTACCAATTACATTAAATAAAACAGCTTTAATATCACTAACGGTACTTTACTACGTACTGTTCCTTTAACTGAGAATGATGAGTTGTGTTTGTAACGTGGTGACTTTAGTGAACTCTTGGTCACTAAAACCCACATAGCAATATTCTTTAAAGTGATTGTCACACTCACTATGAACACTTCAGTTAGTTATGTGGATCTGTAATTAACTCTGGTTTGAATGTGTCATTAAATGATTCATTAAACAGATCAACCAGAACTCTAACTCTTTACCTTTTTATATAATACATCATTATTCTGTCAGCATTTATGACGTCTATATTTCTTTCTGCTTTTTCCCCCAACAGCTGCAGATGTGAAATATTACTTCCCCACTGTCAGAGTTGGAGATGAAGTCACTTTGCCTTTTGACAATGTGATAGATGATCAGGATAAGTGTGAGAGTACTGAGTGGACCTTCAGTGATTCAAGAGGTTCAGCAACATCAGTAAAGCTGGTTCATCTTCAGATTAAAAAAGAAGCCAAAGCTAAACCAGACAGACTGAGAGTTACAGAGAACTGTTCTCTGGTTATAAAGAAGGTCACAGAGGAGGATGCTGGTTTTTACTCCTGCAGACAGTTCAGATCAGGAGAACAACAAGGTCCAGACTCTTCTGTTCTTCTGTCGGTTGTTACCAGTGAGTATTTACATCATGATGTTTCCAAACTTTCTTGTAAAACAATACACTGAAACATTACAATAATAATGATTACAGTGATGAAGTTAATGTTACTCTTGTTGTCTTTCTCTCACAATATCTCCATCTTCAGTGACTGAACATCAGGACAATGATGAGATGACATTAGACTGCTCTGTGACAAGATATATAGGCTGGTGTGGACACTCAGTGAAGTGGCTGCTTCAGGGTCGAGATGTGGATAAAGATCACAGAGATATAAAGACATCACAGTCTTCCTGCTCTGCCTCTGTGACATTTCTGACTTCTCTCTTTAGTTACACATCAAGGTCTGAGTTGTTTACTTGTGAAGTAACAGATGATTCCATGACTGACGTAGATCTGTTTGTCTTCAGTCCTCAGTCCTCAGGTGAGAACATGATGAGCTGTTTAAAATCATTCATCCTGATGCGTCACATCTTTATGTCGTGATGTGAGATGATTACATTTGTTTTTATAACTGTCCAGCATGTTGTTATTGTATTCATTAAGGTGAGGATGCAGGGAAGGTGACTGCAGTGTCAACAACATGGACAACAGTGAGCATGAGAGCAGCCGGAGAGATGACCAACACATCTGAAGACAATCAAACAGAACAAGAGGACAACAATAAAGGTAGAGAGAGAACAGAACATATACATTCACAGTTAGAAAAGACATGCACACATGCAGTATATACACACCTGGATGTACTGGAAGAGGAGAAGGAGTGGACTCAGATACAACATCGTTTATAAAGGTAACATTTTATGTAGAAAAAAAGAACTGTGTGGATTATAAATAAGTTGTGTTTGTATCTGTATGTTCTGTACGTGTCCCTGTGTGAAGGTGACGAGGAAGCATCAAACAGCCAAGAGACATTTTGTTCATTCACATTTTAGAGACTATATTTAACTCTTCTAACTTCTCTCTCCAGGTCGCTTGAGGCTCATCATGGTGTCTGTGGGTTTAGCGGCTCTCATCATCACCGTGGTTACAGTCAACATATGGACAAGAGCTAAAGGTGAGAGATTTTCACAGATGAATTAAAAAAATATGAATAAAGGTGAAATCTAATATCAACTTGTTTTGTCCTTTTTTCAGGGAGCAAAGCACAGACGGAAGAAAACATGGTGAGTTTGAACATTGCATAATTAAATGTGTGTATTATTTGTTATCCAATTTTAACAATGGATATATGACAGGCAGAAGAAGATGCAACACAAGATTAATTTTGAATATTTATGTATCCAAATGAAATGATCTCAGAAAAGCAAAACAGTTAATTAAGCAAAATAACAAAAATCAGCAACTCATTAAGGATGCTTCAAAGTGAACATGTAGTTGAATCAACAGCTCTTTATAATGCTTACAATTAAATGTAATGCAGCCAGTGGTAGCATGTAGATGTTAAAGAGAAGAGGCCCCAAGACAGAGCCCTGAGGAACCCCACATGTCATTTTTGTAAATTCAGATGTGTAGTTACCTGTAGAAACAACGTTTTTCCTGTCCTTTAAGTCCCACCCAGTTTTCCAGTCGGTCTAGAAATATATTGTGGAAAATAAACATAAAACAGGAAAACAAAGACAGATTGTGACGATTGAAAATACTCAAGTAAAGTTTAAAAAAGATGTACTTAAGTGCAGAACCTGAGTAAATGTACTTACTTGTGTTTTTACCATGTCTTTGTTCCATGTTGACAGGAGCAGAATGATGATGATGAAGATGAAGATGAGGTGAACTATGAAAATGATGGAGGGGCTTTTGCCTCTGTGTGACTGATCAACAACATCAACTCCCCTCAGAGTCCATGCTGTCAAACATCACCTCCTCATATTCTACAGGAGAAAACAGGAGAACCATGAGATCATTGGAACATTTCTGATGACTGAGAACACCTGAGCCCCATGAGAGGCACTTCAGAAACATATCTTATTATATTCTTACATCCCGGCTCCTGTGCTGCAACAAAAAGCAGGGAGGGGAGACGAGGGGTAAGAATATAACAATCGTTTATTCTTAATAAACAAATAAGTAAATGGAACCAGCAACAGGTCCCCGAGGCTGGCAAGGAGAGAGTGAGAGAGACCACGGAACGCCTAGTGGTGTGGAGGGGTCGTCACAATATTAATTCATTTCTGATATAACGTCCTTTAAGTATGCTCTCACATTCCCATACATAGTTATACTGTATCTGATCTATAGTCTACACAGTCTCTGTATATAACATCTCAATATTAGCAGTACTTGTACTTACAGTATACATTTTACACCTATACCTTCATTTCTCACAGTAACTGCTGCACATGTTCAAACATACAAGTGTTTCATGAAATATCTAAATTGTAAAATGATCCTGAATCTTTGTTTGTTTGTTAAATGTGCTCTTCAGGGAATACCAGTAAAACTACTGTTGGTGTTTTAATGTAAAAACTATTCATTTATTTTTATAATTATAATGATAACTTGTATTTATATCAGGAAGTACTTTAACCTTATACCTGCATTGTTTACTAGAACTGCTCCACATGTCCCTTTTGTATATATCTTAGCAAATGATATACCCCCCCTACTGTTTCTAATATATATTATCAAAACAATATGTACATTACTCTGGACTGTTCTGCTTATTGCACCACACTGCATTTTGTATTTTCGGTACTAACAAAAATAAAGCTAAATTAAATTTAAATCAGCTTCCTGTTGAAAATGATTTTTACAGATTTTTGATTTCCTTTTTTTTAAGCTGCAGCAGATTTACCTTATTGTCTGCACTCAGTGAACAGAGGAAGTGATTCTGATTGACTTGTATTTAAACAGGTTTTTCGATATTCTGTCAGTGTTCCTGTCAAAGTTCATTGCTGTTGTGTTCCTGGTAACACAACTTTTAGTTTAGGGTCCTTTATTTAACCTTTCTAGCTCCCTCAGTTTCATGTTGTTTTTATAAGATTTATTTTAATGAAGCACTCATTTGGTTCTATATACATACATCTCTTTTTGCTTCTGCATTTGGGTCAACCTGCCTTCCTCACCACCCTGATAGAACTGACCAAAGATGAACTGTATGATTTGTCTAACATACTGTTATGCATTCTTGGAGAGTGGAGAAGAGCGTCGTCTAGGAAGGTAAGAGAGGCTGCTCTGAGAATGGCCCATCGGGAAGAGGCTAAAACACCTGGCTCGGTTGTGGTGGAAATATATCGAGACACACAAACACATAATAATAAAAGGGTGAGGAAACCTTTCCGTTATACTGAAATGAAGATTCTTGAAATAAACAGTCTTTTAGGGAGTTTATTCTTGCAAGAAGGTACATCGTCACAGAGTGTCGAGCAGTCTGCAGCAAAAAAGAAAAGTCAGAAGGTCTGCAGAGGGTCTTATATTCACATTTTCACACACAGAATAGAAGAGGAGGGGCTGTGACAATCAGAAAAGATAAACATACTATATATAGGATTCTTTTAAACACATCTGCTAGCAAATGGAGAAACATCATGTCTACACTTCACAAAAGGACAAGACCATTAACATTATAACGACAAATAGCTCTAGCCCTATTTACGACTCATTAGCCGCGTTCACACCGGAGTACTTTTCACCGTACTTTTCGCGTTTTAGTTCCGTTAGTACCCCTTATGTCGCGTTCACACCAAAAATCGCACTTAATCTCGGGAACTTTTACCCCCATTTTTAGTGGCCGCTGAGAGATCGTACTTTCCTGTGGGTAAAAAGTGCCCCAGTGCTGATTGGCTGGCCGAATTGCAAACCACGCCCGTACAACTGTGAAAATGATGTGTAGAGCCGCCATTGTTTTTCCTCGCTACATAAACCCAGCGCACCGACGGAGAGTAGTTTGTTTTTGAAAGCAGTTATGGCAAGCATCAAGAAATGATGAGGAGGTGTCGGCGCTTCTGGAGATCTACGCCGAGGACGCGACCCAGGGAATGCTACTGAAGCCAGTTCAGTAGCTTTCACTCGACCTGGGAATCGTGCACAGCCCCACGGCACACCGGCTAAAAATAAAGAAACTCAGGCAGGACTGGAAACGGCGGATTCAGTGGCCAACGATGACGACCACGACGAAGGTAAAATCAACTACATGCACTGGGGTTTTAATCTGCACAATAATGGTCTCAGATGTACTTTTATTTGCTCAGTAGATCAAGCTAGCCATGCCGGCCCCGAGTTAGCTACATCTAGCTAGCTAGATATTCTCGGCCGCTATGAAAACGTTTTGACTTGTGAATAACTGCAGTGTTTCTGTCATTTGCTTCACTAACTCATGGCACTAATCGTCTGTTTCAGGCGAGGATGGACAACTCTCGGGATCATACTTGCCAACCTTGAGACCTCAGAAATTGGGAGCATTTCCAAAACCACCGCGGGGGGGGGGGGGGGGTGCTAGTGGATCACCGGAGCTGTATTAAATTAACATTAACATGCTTATTGTAGTTGTAAGTGCACTGCCTTGCGGCCTGTAGCACCATATGTGTGGGCTGGACACCACCCTCTCAGACTTTCAGTTGCACGCGCTACGCTACCATGGAAACCAAACAATGGTGTAGTGTTGTATTAAAGTCAGAGTGGAAACAGTCCTGAGTAAATCTGATTTTGTCAGAAATTGGGAGAAATGCGGGAGAAATATGACCCCGGGAGGAAATCGGGAGAGGGCAATGAAATCGGGAGTCTCCCGCGAAAATCGGGAGGGTTGGCAAGTATGCTCGGGATTGGAAACAAGCGAGCTTTGCATTCTAGATCACAGCGCTTGGTCGTCCCCCTTACCAGCAACCAAACGCAAAGGTACACACACTGTAACTTTGTCTTGAAAGAACGTTACGCATCGAACTGATGTTCACAATCATGTTTATTTCCTTCTTGGTACAATTATGAAACAGCGTGAAAACGTATTCGCCTAGACCGGCATTTACAAATGTTCGTGCCTTTTTACTCTCTCACAAACATTGTAAACATCCGGACTAGAGGTCACAAGACTTCCGGTAAGAAAACTTGCCTCAACAACATTAAACAAAGTTCAAGCATACATGAAGCACAATCCTCCGTGTTTTAACCTCTTAAATCGCTGCATAGCCGATTTATTTGGACTGGATTATCCAAGAGAGGCTAAACATTCTTTATAACACAGTTTCAGATTTGTGAAACCTTTAATTCTATTTGTGAAAATACAAAAAAGAGAGATTTTAGTGCTTTTTCGCATCCTGGCCACATTAGACCAGGTCCTGATCTACAACCACTCTACCTAGGCCTCCTTCACACGGGAACGTTTGCGTTTATGCACAGTATGCGTATTCAAAAAAGTCTTCCGTTCACATGCATTCGTTTCATTTAACGTGTCTGTTCAAACGAGGCCGCTGGAAACGCTGTAGTACATATGCCGGGACTGTAAGTGGCGCTGTAACTTCCGCCAAAATACACCAAAAGCAGCGAAGAAGAGCAGCCCAGAGCAGCCCCGCAGCAATGTTGCCATGGCTACCCTTCTGTTTATGCCCCGCGGTGTATTTAGCAACATGTAGTTCATGTAATTCTCCATGTCCACTTGTTGCTGATGGTTGTGGTAGAGGAGCTGTAGATTTTGCACTAATATCTGTAGCATGGTCAGTAGCAGTAGCACTAGCAGTAGCTACTGACAGGAGGAAGTGTGTGTGGCGATTGCTGGTATTCAGCGGGATATAGTAATTTCCTCAGCATGTAAATATATGGATAAATGCAACGGGGAAGTTAACTGAAAGAAACCGAATCTGTGGATATTGCATCGACCAACCAAGAAGCACGTCTCCGTGGAGAGGACACGCTCAGAAAGAGAGATATTCTCTACAAACACCGGGTGAGATCGCTCCTTTGTCAATATAATGGATCAATGCATGAAATCTGACTCTGTTTATTTTGTTTAAGGAGTATATTGGGCGTTAACAATTCTGGTTTGCCTTTTATAATATTATTTCATTCAAGAACCCCTTGTGCGTTTAATTAACACAGCTATTTTTGATAGTTGCTACAGCAGTGAGCAGGAGAGGTGGGGAGAGGTGGGGCTATCGTTATTTTTTCAGGAAATATTCGTATAGAGGCGATTACACGGACTCGTTTGACCCCCCAGAGCGTTTAGTTTGCAAATCTATCCACCTTGGGACCCGTTATCGTTTGTGGGGTCAGTTTCTATCGGCCTCGTGTAAATAATAGGGCTATACGCAGGGGTGCACATAACTGGTACGCAGGTACGCATGCGCGGCAACAATCTGAAATGCGTACCGTCACTTGTGTCACAAAGCGCATTTGCGTACCGACGTACTTGTGAAGCTTTTCCAGAAGGCGGTTAGATCACCGGACGACAGAGTCGGTCTCCGTGTGCACAGACAGGGCTGCTGTTAACGTCGGTCTGTACAGCAGCCCTGCGCTAAAACAGCTGATCACAACGTTCACACGCTCCGCGGTCACGAAGCTCTGTACTCCACTACCCCCCCCCCCCGTTGACAATCGCCAGAAGTTGGAGTACCAAACACTGACTCCAGGTACTCATCTGAGTACCTCACTGAGAAAGTTGTGTGCACCCCTGGCTATACGCACGCGAAACTATGCAGATACAAGCAGTTTTCTCCTCGTATAAACGGCGTCCTAGACTCATCAAATCTGGACTGGATTATCCCAGAGAGTCAAAAGATTCTTTATAACACAGTTTCAGATTTGTGAAACCTTAATTCTATTTGTGAAAATACAAAAAAGGGAGATTTCAGTGCTTTTTTTACATGTAGACCACATTAGACCAGGTCCTGATCTAAAACCACTATACCTAGACTCATCAAATCTGGACTGGATTATCCCAGAGAGTCAAAATATTCTTTATAACACAGTTTCAGATTTGTGAAACCTTAATTCTATTTGTGAAAATACAAAAAAAACATTCCTAGTATGTTGTAAAACTACATGGCGACTAAACAGATCTTGTATCTTGCTTATTTTCCCCTCTTAGGAAAGCAGACACGGGATGCGAATTTCTTTGACACCGTCCAGGCGTTGGAGGACCGGCGTGCCGTGGTGAAAGAGTCGATGCACGGGGATCAGATGGTGCTGTTCACCAAGGCCCAGGAAACGGAGGACAAGATGCTCACCAGTTCATTTTATATTATTGTTATTACTGTTATTATATTATTGATACAACTGACACTTTATTTTATATTGATAATGTTAATTTACATGTACAACTTCTATTTTATTTACATTAAAAATGTGAACTTCTATTTACTGTTAAACAGATCCTGTAGCTTGCTTATTTCTCCTGACACTTTATCTTTAGTGACCGTAGCATCCTATACATCACATGTAAGTGATTATTCTGATACCATCATGTTTCATCGGTTATAAACTGGCAAAGCTTTATTTGTCATTTATTTATCATCAATGTTGCAACCTTGTGGAGGAATGGCAGGGGCACATACACAAATATGATAATTTATATAATTTTAAATATTATTTGACCTAAAACTAAATGTTTTTATGATTGTCCTCTGAGGAGGACATGGGGATTTGCAAACTTTTAATTCCCCCCCCCATTTTAGACAACACAAAATGGAGTCCAGTATGGGCCGAAACTAACATGTAGTTTTCCATAGTGTTTAT